TATCATCATTAATTTATAATGATTAAACACACTTTATTTATAATCACTACATCTTATATTAGCATTAATCATTTAAGTCTTCAACCATATTTTTTTATTATAAGTCTCCAACTATATAATATGTAGTATATATTAATATTAATATGTATGATTCTGTTATTCATCTAAAGAATTAATAATTACTCACTCCTTCAATCAAATAATATAATCAATATTGAAAAGTATACAAAAATCATGGTTCAAAAAGATCACACATAGGAGTATATGAAATATATTAAATATCGGATATGTGTTGATTGTATTGAAATAATGTACTTTGTTATTTAGAGCCCATTTCATAACCGTATTTTTCGGCTTATCAGGTTTATCAGCCAACTTTTTCACCAAATACGTAAAATTTGATAAACTTAATGATGCATTTTTGTTATTCATAATTAGTTGATGGTTGTAAATAGAATTACTCTTCACAATCCTAACATCCTCCATGGCACTAACATTATTGGGTGTTGCATTATTGCTTTATAAAATTTTCGTATTTAGAAACATCACTAAATGCTAGATAACGGGTGTTTGGATCTACTTTTTAAAATTGCTTCCACTCCTTCAAAAAGCATAAGCAGAAGTGAAGTGTTTGGGTGAAAGTGCATAAGTACTTTTGGGTGATTCAAATTACTCCTAAAAGCAGTTTTTAGAAGTTGGGAAAGACTAGCTTATGAAAAACAAACTGATTCTCATTCTGACTCTATTTTAAAAAAAGGCACATCCAAGAAACATAGCTATTCGTAATAAAGTACACCCGATTTCATAACTAAATAAAGTCTATTACTACATTCGTCTCATTAATATTGAGACATGAAGAGGTGACACAGTTATTAAGAAGACTAAGTTTATGTGGTTGATATTGAATTGATAAAGTAAGAATAAAGTAAAAATGATTTAGCACCACACAAACTTTATTAAATTCGGTATTAGACAATCTTAGTGGGACAACCGAAAATGAAAAATGGGACAATCTTAACAAGACAAAGGGAATATAATATAAAAACCCCTAAAAAGTGCAATTAATTCTTTGATAACTAAATTATAAAAAGGGAGTATATTCTTTTGTCTATTTATATATCTTAAACCTTCTCCTACAGTGCTAACTATGTAAAAATTGTTCTGTATATTTTATTTTATATGGCTTTATTAATATCTTCATGTATGTTTTTTTTTTCTCTTTTTTTTTTTCGAGGGGATAGTTATGTAAGAATCATATCTTATGAGTTGTACATTTTAAATTTTTGAGATATTACCCGAAATAGGACTAAAAAGGTTCGAAAATTCCAAAATAAGACCGTCATGTTATTATTCCCAAAATAGGACTAATTACTGACATGTTTTGGCAGTACCAGACTTCAAACATGGCAGTATTTTCCAAACATGACAGTAATTACTCCTATTTTGGAAATAAAAAACATGGCAGTCCTATTTTGGAATTTTCAAACTGTTTTAGTCCTATTTCGGGAACTTTCCCTAATTTTTTATTTTATTTTTAACGATTTAACACAAATACACCATAACACTTCAACACGTACAAATGATACAATAATCAATACTCAACACTTCAAAAGTCAAATTACTTAAATCTGGAGTAGTTAATACTCAGGATGTTTTCTTTTGGACTGGAATTTATTGATCTGGTCTGGTCTGATCTGGTTTGAACTGGTCTAGTTTGGTCGGATAAACGACTGGTCTCTATGTATTTTATAATTATAGAAGTTTGGTCCAGACTTATCTGGTCTAATCTTGTCTGGTCTGGGATTGAGAACAGTACAAAAAAAACATTCCCAATAATACACTTTATGTACACTTCCATGTTTACCAATGTTGTATTATATGGATTACTCCGTATTATTTTAGAGGGCATTGGACTGAAGTATACGATCATACCGAGCATATCATTTTACTTTGGGCTGACTAGAGTTGGGTGGGATAGTTACATGGGGGGCACTTACATTTCGTCACAGTGAGCAATATTGATTAGGGGATGGGGTCTAGTGAGAGAACTTCTAAAATGAGAACTTTTGATCTAAACATTTCATTCATTGTAATCATTGGCTAGGATTCACATGAAGTCATATTCATAATTGCCCCAAATTCAAATGTTTTTCTTTTGCAATTAATCCTAAATACTTACAAAAATGTCACATTATCGTTATTACTCATTGATTACAAAAATAAATGATGAAAATTAGAATTTCTTATTACGGATTCTCAATTTAAGATTAGTTCCCATAAAAACCATCCTCATACTTATTAAGGGCGCATATATAACTATAATATATAATATATAACTATAAATGTATTGTATACTACTTCATAAGTTTTTTAATAATTATAACCTCTTTGAGTGTATTTTTCTATTAATATATAAAGACGAATTCTATTGTGTGTAAAAGGTTTTGAATTTATTCCAAAGCATGCTTTTCAAAGACATTCTTAAAAAAACTATATCAACCTTCTATGCAATATTACTAAATGAAACTAATGAATAAAAACGTGTCTATTGTTATTATAACCTTTGGGATTACTGTAGCCTAAAATTTAACATAGTTACAACATCGACATTTTCACTATCTTTATTTTATTCGATCGTTTTGTTGATTTCTATTGTATTGTTATAGGCGATTTACTTTTAAAAAAATCCAGCTTACGGGGTTCATTCTCTTCAGGGTGATATCATTTAACATTTCCAAGAAACATTAGGCTACTTAGGGCCACTTTGAACTTAATGGACTTGGTGTAAATACTCACTAAGTGTGTAGCTATATAGAGTTGTTATAGTTCTATTGTTTTAATTTAAATACATACTGATAGTATCATCTAAGAATGTTAATTATTTTTTAAATTGAAATGAGAACGTTTAGTTGAAAGGAAAGGTGAGGGGTATAAGCTGGGATGAAGGGATTATAATAAATGTGGAGTATATATAAGACTATGTTATGTTGTTTAATTCATATAAATAATATATGATTCCTAGACGTAATATAATATTCCAAAACATGAACTATAGTTATTATTGTATGCCATTGAAAGACTCCTGATTTAATTGAGAATAAGACTTGGTCAAAAGGCACAAAAACATATCATCTCCTAATCCTAAACGTTGCATGTACATCTGCCACTTGTCAAATTCCATGGCTCTACAGAGAAACTACTTGCTAACTCATAAGATGTGTGTGCCCCCCTAAATTTCTCAGAAATATAAGGAGAACAAATCCCTTAGTTATAGTAAAACAAAATTTGCAGAAAAACTACATTTTTGAGTAATTTCTTATTGAATATAACTATAGAAGGTGTTCTAGAGAGAGGGAGAGAATAGAATAATGGGTTCATCAACATTCCTTGAAGTCATACTTGCAATTTTTCTACCTCCAGTGGGTGTCTTCATTCGCTTTGGTTGTGGAGTACGTTCTTCCTCTAACCCTATTTCCTTCTTAAAGTACAAATAAGAATAATAATGAATTGATGATGATGATTTTTGGCGATATATTAATTTATGTTGTAGGCATTCTTGATTTATAAAAATATTAACATTGACAAATAATGTGTTTTTGCTGAATCTCTTAATGAAATCACGAGGATGAGAGTTCTATCTAATTAAATATTTTGAATTGTTTTATGTTTTCTTTTACAATTCCTTATAGAGTTTTGGTACTAATTTTGCAGGTGGAATTCTGGATAGACTTGATATTAACATTTCTGGGATACCTACCGGGCATTATATATGCAATTTATGTATTGGTAGCGTAGAAAAGGACTTGCTTTATTATATGGCGTGGATGTAGATTCATTCATCAATAATGTACCATTAATTCAACATTAATCCAAATGCAGTTATTAGTGTTACACTGTTACATTTGCTACAATCTTATTTTATTGTATTACTGACGAAATATTCTATCTAATCAAAATGTGATATTGAGATGGTTTTTCTATCTAATCAACATGGTTTTTCTCGACTTGAAGTAAGAAGATGGCCTCTGAAATTCTGCAAAAGCTGATGAATGCCTCGTCCAGTTTTTGAGTGGCTGCTTTCACCATTTTAAGCATGTCAGTCCATATTTCTTCTCCAGAATCTAAAACACTAAATCAACCCCAGGGAGAGAAAATGTTAAAACAACAATCCCTTAGATGAAAGAAATTTGAAGAATTGACTGAAGCATATTTTGAAAAACATTGGGGAAGAGAGATGAGCAAGGTTATCAGAACCAGCCTAGCCATTACCAGCGGTGAGGGTCCGAGGTCCTGGTTATGGTGTAATGCTTTGCAGAAGGTCAGATGTGTCAAATTGTCAACTTGTTGGAAATTAATTCCCAGAAACAAAACTTCCTTTTCAACTTCCAACTCTTTTTATCCCCCAAAAAAGTCTGGTTTTAAAGCCATATATCATTTTTTGGACAAAATTCCTCTAAAGCTTTTGTACCTTGATTGAGTTTACTGAAAATGATAAGTTACCATTGTACATTACCTAAACGTGACCCTTTTAATCCTTTTATGATAAAGAGAGCTTTCTAAAACTCCCTTTTCAACTTCCAACTCTTTTTATCCCCCAAAAAATCTGGTGTTAAAGCCATCTATCATTCTATGTGCAAAATTCCCCTAAAGCTTGTACGTTGATTGAGTTAACTGAAAATGATAAGTTACCATTGTACATTACCCAAACGTGACCCTTTTAATCCTTTAATGATAAAGAGCGCTTTCTAATAATGTAGTTCAATATTACAAATTAATATTTCATCTAGAAATGCAATTTTAATGTGCCATTTTCACTTAGTGAGCGCATCATCATATTGATACAATTAAACAGTTACTCAAATAAAAGAAGAAAATAAATAGAACAGTCAAACAAGCTAATAAATAAATATTCTCCCCCCTGATATTACTGCCCACTTCGACTGAACACATCATTTAAGAAAATGAAAACAGAGCGGTGAGATTTATCTATAAGAGAGAGAAACAATATCAAACACATTGTTTTCATCAAACAAAGTGAGTGAAAAATTTAGAAACGGATAAAAAAGAAAAGTAATGAACCTACTAAAAACTGTAAAAACAATATTAGGGAGGCCTGGAGAAACTATTTGAATATGGAGGGATTAAAAATTATTAATATCCAAACCAATATGCCCATCAGAGAATTTCCCAAATTAAACATAGTTCTCTTAATATAATAGCTTAACAGGATATTAGAATATCTCTGGTGGGTTCCGGGATTCTTCACCAGTTATTGACCATGTTGCACCAGTTCTGTGCACGAACCTAACTGCAGTTTCGATAATATTGGTGATGAGAAACTGAGAATGACAACTCATTTACTCATGGTATAGTAATAAAGTGCAGTAAGTTGATTGAGGTGCTTACTAGCTGTCATGGCTGGTAAGCTTCAGGAAGTTGGAGTCCCACGCTGGCAGCAGATTTTCTCAAAACTTTTTTCATCTCATCAGACCTATCGACTGCGATATTATAAGAAAAGAGCAAGTTCTGTCCAACCGATAGGTGCAGCATATGAGCACAATAATGGAAAAAATTTACCATCAATTTTAATATTACTTCTCCATACAAAACTTTATAATAATGTCTTACTGCTTTTACGGCTTTATGTTATGAGTAGGCTATAGACAAAAAAAAAAAAGGTGGTCAAAATTTTGGATCAAAGCCTTTTGAAGATTGTGCTGCTTAGTGATCTGGCGACAGTGTGACACTACAATTATGACAAGTGCATGGTATATTCCATGTTCAGCACACCTATGTCACGTCTCTAGTCACAAGTCAGTCATCACAGGCTCAATGGTGGACAGTGAAACCCAGCATACTGCTCTCCATAGGCCGTGATTAAGCACAACCTTATCCCAATTACTCTCTCCATGAATCAATCCACTACTCATTTTCTCAATGTAAACAAAGAGTAAATGCAGAAAGATACAGTAAATGAAACCAATTGCTAGTGTTTTTACATTGGTAGTCTAAAAATAGATTATATGCTTACAGCCTTATTGGTAAAGGTCGTTTGTAGAAAATGGCTGACTTTAGTGAATTAATTGTAAGGGAAAGCATTTGGTAAAATCCATTCAATCTAAACAAGTAAATCATAAGCACTTGATAAAATACATATACTTATCCTACTAAAATAAGCCAAACATGGCGATGCCATAGGCTCCTAAATAGTAGTGTTCCCATTAATATTTCTTTGGCTAATCTCTCAGAGATCTATCCACGATTACAGAACTAGGAACCAGATAAAAATACACAAGAAACTGTATAGACATGAGCAAGCACCCAATATTGAAGGGCAGATAGCCAAAACTCCAAACATCCAAAATAATGAACTACATTTAACTCAAACGAGCTTCTTTGAACTGCTGACTAGAGGTTTTTTGTTATTTCCATTCATTTGATTGGATTCCTACTAGGCAAGTAAGTGAAGTAACTCAACGAAAAGAAAACTTCACTTCTCCTTATTTCCAAGAAACTGGATCAAACTTTTCCTACACAAAGCCATTACCATACACGAGATTCACATGCCCACTTTTGAAATTCCAAAAAAGCATTTAGCTTTCAGGGCCAACGAGAGCCTTCTAACTTCAAAACCCCAAGTCAATAACAGGTTCAGTTGAGCTCATTTCTCCATTCAGTTCTAATGAATTGTAGATATGAAGTTATGACCTTTGTACAACCTTTCTGTTTTAGTTAATATACAAAAGCTGTAAAGCATTAACTAAGCTTATTCAGGTAACTTATCACCTTTTATGGCAGATTATATTGAAAAATTAGCATCAAAGAGTATCTAACAAAAAGAATGAAGGCATGAAGTGGCCAAGTAATTGCAAAGTTATTGGCTACTGTGTAAAGATACGAGAAATGACCTTTTGATGGTGAACGCTATTGAGGAGAAAGGTGTAATCTTTGGCAAGCTTTAACCTATCCTCTTGATGATTATTGGAAATACGCTTCTTAGCAGCAGCAGCTTCGGTATTGATGCTGTTCCTGAACTCCTCTTTTATAAAATCGGTGAAATGGGCTTTGTGCTCTTCCTTTCCGATGTGTTTCTTCACTGCTTTCACAAGGTTTCTGTAAACCTCCTTCCCCATTGATTTTCTCCCCCGCAACCTCGTGTATCGGCTCTGAATAAACCTGCAATGAATTATAAGAAAAGGTTGAATCGACAAACCCCCTTTTCGAAAACTCTTGACAATCCAGGTTTAGGATTTTTTTTAATTGTTCTATTTTAAGAAAAGGTTGAATCACTGAGACTACTAGAAATTTGAGACGACGGTAGAGTATAGCCCGGAGAAGCACTTCTCAGGTGATCAGCTCGGATCTAGGATTGCAATTGAGGGCCAGCCCAAGTTGTAGGAGGGGTCAGAGACCGGTCATCGTGTTTATGGGTCGGGCCGATGTCGAGAAAAGGGCCTTAAACGTACGTAGTATTATCAAAATGTCAAAATGCACCACAAAAAAAAATTATTATTACTTCCGTCCTCCTAAGATTGGGATGAAGAAGAGTGATACGATTTTTAAGAAAATAGAGTTATGTTGGTGATAATAAATTAATAATGTGTGAATAAAGTATGTTAAGATTCAGAGTTCCATTCTAAAAGGTCAAACCTGATAGGAGGACTAACTCAGATCTTAATATAGCACTTTATTACCTTATAGATTTCTGGTGTAGTCCACATACCAATCTTATCGCATATTATCAATATCCCTTTCTTGATGATCATTAATTGGGATAGTTTAAGATCTTATGTTATATCATATAAGCTCATACTTACTTATTGACGACACAAGTCCAAGGGAACACAATTATGAATAAGCCATTGACAATCGAAATGTTTAATCATCAATGTGTAATACCATATATATCTCTAAAAAGTGATTGTCGCTAGAACTCATATACTAACCATATTCCACTTGGTCTAGTGTCAATCACCGATGTGTCTAACACCTAGATTTTCAAAAGTTTGGTGTGTTTCTCGTACCTCAAAGGTTTGGTGAAAGGCCCAACCAAATTGTCCGCTACGGGAGCACGTTCTAATGCAACTTATTCTCATGTTATTTGTTATCAAAACATGATAGCATACAAGTATTTTCTAGTTCCTTTCTTTGCATCTTGATTCATTAGCTTGTGCAAATACACCAGTATAGTCACAATAACAATTATGGGATAATTGTTGCTAGGAACTACCCTTATTTCTTTGAGGAACTCATGTAATTAAACGCTTACCTAAGCTGCAACAATTTACTAGGCATTAGTGTCGAATTTATAGTAGTCTCTTACTTGCAACTCTTTCAGCACTACTGTTCTATTGAGACTCAAAACGTATACTGATTGTGACTCATAATCTTCCTTATCATACATGAAGCTATTGTTAGAATAATTAAATTCTACAAGTTCTTTTTGTCCACCTTATACAAAAAGATATTCATGAAGATTTTGGGTAACCATTCTTTCACGAACTTCATTGAGGGATATAATTCTCTATGATCAACATATATGATTATAAAGACCACGTTATCCTTGTTGCGCATTCTAAACACGTAAGCACCCTCGTTTCTTCTAATGAAGATGAAGACAAAGGATTTGACTATTTGATAAAAAATTATATTTCAACTCCTAAAGGCTTGCTCTAGCTCATAAATGAATTTCTTTAATTAACATACTGATTTAGAATTTGACTTGGATACAAAACCTTTAGGTTGTACCATGTACACCTCCTACTTGAGGTTTCCATTAAGGAAAGGGGTTTTGACCATAATTAGTTAAATACGGTACGAGAATTAAACATGGTTTAATACGTACGTGTTTTATTCGGTAACTTGAACTAAAAATACGGTAAAAAATTCGGCAAAAAATACATTGACTTTTAAAAATCATTTAAATACGTAAACGTGTATAATACGACCTCTCTTAGAAAAATCCGGGTTAAAAATACGGGTCTTATTTTGAATGATTAAATTATTGTACTGGCCTTAGAGCATAAAAACACATGATACACACACATTCAAATAGAATATCTCATTACTCCATCAAAAAATGCATTCATAATAGCATAAGTTCATGACAAAAAAAGAAATACTCCCTCCGTCCCAATTTGATGATCCCGTATTTCCTTTCTGGGCCGTCCCAAATTGATAGTCTTATTTCCCTTTTTGGAAAGAAATATGTGGTCCACGTCATTTCACCTTTTTATCCTCAAATCTCAACCACAACTTTTACCTTTTCAACCACTTTCTTAATATTTGAGCCCAAAAGAAATGGGATCATCAAATTGGGATGAAGGGAGTAATGATTAAGTCCAAAATAAAATTTAAATTATATACTTCATAAAATAACATGTAATAAAAAGAAATAAGAGTGTACACTTTTATTGAAGTAGTAGCAAATCACATTAATACATAAAAGAATAATCCATAATTGCATAAGTCTAAGACTTAATTTTGCAAAGTAAAGTCAGAAAATAAGGCATAATAATGATAGAATGAGACCAAATTAACATCATCATCATCTTTATATGATCATCAAATAACACTCAAGGTAAATTCATCATTTTCACCCAAATGACGGATGACGTATGAGAAAGTTATGTGATTGCTACAGTTAATTATTATTGTATATGTGTAAAAGTTTATACTAAAAAATGTCAAGTTTAGAAAAATCTTAATTTTGATATGCTTGTTTGGAAAAGAACATCACAGATCTAATAAGTAGTACATAGTAGTGTTTTAGGTTTTAGCCTTTTAGAATGCTAGCTTTAGTCATCATGCAATTGATTTCGGTATTTAACAAGTGTAACAATACAAAAAAACGGGATCACGGGGATGAACTTTTCTTTTTGCTTTTAAACTATTGTTGATCTACTATTCATTTGATGTATTCATTCAAGTGATCACATCATGTTTCTATATTTTTTTTTTTGCAAAATACGGGAAATATACGTTTTATACGGGAAGTGAGATTTTTTTTCCTTTTTAAACGGACCGACATTATTTTTCGTTTTAAAAGCGTTTTTTTGTTAAAAAAATGGTACGTGTTTAAAACGCGTTTTAAACGTCACAAAGCTAACTAGGGTTTTGACATCCATTTGTCAAATCTCATAATCATAGTATGCAGCTATCACAAGCAAAATACAATGAACTTAAGTTTTGCAATTGGCGAATATGTATCATTATAGTCAATTCATTCTCTTTGACTATAACCTTTAGCCACTAGCCCAGCTTTGTATGTTTGCACCTTGCCTCCAGCATCAATTTTTTCTTGAAAATCCATTTGCATCCAATGGGTCTAATCCCAACAGGCAAGTCAACCAAGTTCCATACTTGACTGATACACATCGAGTCCATTTCAGATATTCATGGCTTCTCGCACCTCTCAAAATCAACATCTAAAATTGCTTCAGTGTAGGTCTTAGGTTCATCCTTGTGAGGAATTTCAACATCATCATGATCCTCCATGAGGTAGACAAACCTAGTTAATTCATGACATATCGTAGTAGACCTACAGAGTTGAATATTTTACGTTTGTTCAGACTGTTCATTCTAATTGTGAAGAGGATCTCCTTCATTAAATTGTTCAATGCTCGAGTAGTTTTTGTAACATCATACCCAAGTATATTTACTTTTAAGTAAATTATGTATTGAACCTTGAAGAATGATTATTGAATCTACGAGGTTGTAAATTTTTATTCTTTATTTCGCATGATTGGTAAAATGCATGTGGGGCCCACACCGGGAGAGCGGACCGTCCGATATTTCTGAGACCCCATATTATATTCATCCTGGTATAGATAATATATATATATATATACAGGGGCGGACCCAGGAAGTTTGTCTTGGGAGGGCGGTAACTTAAACAAAATATTTTTTGGGAGGGCGAAAATTATTTTTTATTATATATATACACTAAAAATTTTGTTGTTGGGGGGGGGGGGCGACCGCCCCCCTGGGTCTGTACTACGGTCCGCCCCTGTATATATATATATAGGGATGAGATCGGATACAAAGTATGTTTCCCATACAAAATACAAATTCATCTCATCCATCCAAAATTACAAAATCAAGGGCACTAATTGTTTGGTTGGTTAATTTCAGTCGTTAGCACCAATTGTGGGATATCAAGGAAAGCTTTCCTATTTTGTCGCAACTAAATATGGTTAGTGAGGGAGGTTTTCCCATTAATACACGGCCATCTCACTCATATGAATGGCTAGGATTAATTTGCATTTTGTAAATTAGGATGGGTTTGTATTTGATCCTAAGTCTATATATATATATATATAGATAGATACATATATCACATATATATGTTTTGGTTCAAATAAGAACATGATCTTAGGAGAGAAATAAGAACAAATCTGGACCATTGGATTTGCTTTATGTGATATTTGATGTGCATTAGATGAAACTGTAATGTGTATTAGGTGAAACTGAAATGTGCAGCACAAAAGGTACGATAAAGTGACATTATGTGAAGCAGAATTGTGCATTAGATGAATTTGAAATGTGCACTAGGTGAAACCAAAATGTGCAGAATAAAAGATACGATGTGATGTTATTTTTGTACCTTTTATTATGCACATTTCAGTTTCACCAGATGCACAATTCAGTCTCACATAATTCAATCCAACAGTCCAGATTCGTTCTCATTTCTCTCCTAAGATCCGTTCTTACCGGAACCACTCCCTATCACGGGTCAAGTCCAAAACGGGCCGGAACTTAAAAACCATATCAGATCCATACTTAAAAAATATTACTTTGTACTACATATAAATTGATTATCCAAAAATTATTACTACATATAAATTGATTATCCAAAAATTATCAAAACTACAAAGTTCTAAATAGGCGTAGAGGATATAGACCCGACCCATTTTATAAGATAATTAGATTAGGCACATTTTATTTTTCCGCCCTTAGGCCCGACCCATACCCTCAAATAAAATGCCAGATTCTGATCAGGTTCGGGTCTAAACCCGACTCATTGAGAGGCCTCGTTGTGGGTCACGTGCATCCGAAATAAATACTCCCTACTTGTATAGTTGTATACGGAGTATGAGAGTATCGGTTTATTTATCCAAATTTTGGTTTGACGAAATATATTTGGAAAAGGTTTGAGATTGTTAAATTAGGAAACACTGAACAAAATGGGATTTTAGGAAATTAGGAAACACTAAACACTGCTCTCTCCATATAATGGCCAATCAAATATTTGAACTGCAAATAATTGAAGAGATCAGAATGGCCACCATGAGAGCTTCTCCGCTTCCTAACTCCTCCGCACTCCGCATAACCCGTGCGCCGAACCTCTCGGCCGCCGCCGCCCCATATTTTCCGGCCAGATGGAGGTCCGGGTCCTCTGGGATTGAGACGACTACTGATGCCCAGCAGCAGGATACTCTGTTTTTGGACGGCCTTCAGCTTCCCACTACTTTTGAGGATGTGCCATCTTTTCCGGCTGAAAGGAGGTCAGAGCTACCGCCGCCGCAGCGGCAAGATCCTCCTTTTCTTGATGGCAGCCTGATTCGTATTGGTCCTGATGCACCACACTTCCCGGACGCCGCTGCTCCATGTTTCCCGGCCGGAGGGAGGTCTGGGATTGAGACAGCTTTTGCTCCGCGGGATAGGAGGCCACAATTGCCGCCGCCGCGCCGCCAACGTCAGTATGATCTGTTTGTGGACGGCGTTCTGGTTTCCACCGGCTTTGTGGATCCGCCATCTTTTCCGGCCGCCGTTTCCCCATCAAGAACGAATAGAGAGCCTGAAGCTTGTCGTGTGTGTTTGGACGACGTAATTCCCCACAATATCGAAAGTAATTGCATTGTCAAATGGGTGCGGAGAAACAGGTGTCTTTTGTGCAGGGCAGCACCCATAATTGATTGAAACAAAAAAAAATAAAAAGTCAATTGGGTTAGGAGATTTTTATTGGTGGATTTTCTGAATTTCTCCTCTATGGCTATTAAGAACTTTGTAGTTTTGATAAGATTGGTACTTGTAATAATTTTTAGATAATCAATTTATTTTTTTTGAAAATCCAATAACTATATTATTAATTGTTTAAAGCATGGATAATACAAGTGGGTGGAATATCCATCCAAATAACGACAGACCCAGAACAAGCTTCCCTAGCAAAATGTGAGCAGCCTGATTCGCTGTACGGTGCACATATTGGACACTTATATTAGTATAAAATCAACCATCATGTGTCTAATATCTCTAAAAAGAATGTCATTGTAGTGTATGCCATCTCCCCGAGTAATCCCCTGGACAATTTGCTTTGCATCAGATTCCACAATGACCCGATGCCATCCCCGCTCTAGCGCCCACTTAACGGCTTCCTCAATCGCCATTGCTTCCGTTGTCCCAGGTGTAAATCTCCCCTTTCTCATAATGCTCCTCCCTGCTACAAACTGTCCATTGCAGTCACGAACAACAAGGCCCAAGCCTCTCGCATCTCCTATGTTTGATGTTGCGGCATCAACATTAATCTTCACCCAACCCCTCTCCGGGGGTTTCCAAGAGTCCTTTCCCCCCGCTGAAATCTGCACCTTTGACTTAGGACATTGCGCAGCCTTCCAGGCTTCCACCCGTCCCAAACTGTTTCGCCACAGGTAATTACTCCCTTCCAATTGGGATTCAAGTTTTTCCAAACCTTCTCATTCTGAGCTTTCCACAAACTCCAACATAACATGGCAAATTTTCCAAGCTCCTCTTTCGTGCTACTCGCTGCCACCAACGACGCTCACTCCCCGAAACACCCGGCTGCCAACAACAGAAAATTCCCGCCCCGGTTGTTCCACACCGTCCGAGCTAGAGTGCAGTCTCGAAGGATGTGCAATGAGCTTTCTTCTTCTTGTCCACAAATCTGGCACTTCGGCCACATAGGTACTCTCTTTTGAATTAATCTTTGTTTACTAGGTAAGCAATCCACGCAAGCTTGCCATAAAAATAATTTAACCTTCGGTGGTATTTCAAGCTTCCAAATTTTTGCCCAACCCACATTCGGTAGAGTGCTTCGAGTGAGGTGTTTGTAACAACTGCGAACTGAGTACACGCCTTTATTGTCATCTGCCCAAATGAGCTCGTCCTCTCCCTGCCTTGGTCTCAAAGGAATGCTAGTGATAAGATTTATGTCCTCCACCTGGAAAAGATCATGCAATAAGTCAAAATCCCAGCCCATACCATCATTTAGCATAAGAGAATTCACCCGGATGTCTTCCAACTCCTCTACCACATTTCCAGCCGGCCTGCACCCTTCAGAGTTGTGGAGCCAGTTATCCTTCCAAACTCGTACCAATTTGCCGTCTCCTATTCGAAAACAGACCCCTCTCCTAACCGCCGGGATGGCTGCGGCAATACTCCGCCAAATTAGAGAGGGGTTATGTCCGCACCGAGCTTCCAGGATATTACCATTGGAGAAATATTTGGCTTTCAATATCCTAGCCATCAATGTATTTGGATGTTTCAGTATCCTCCACACTTGTTTACCCAACATAGCAATATTGAACTCCCGAAGCTTCCTAAAACCCAGCCCTCCTTGAGTTTTCGGAATACAAAGATCTCCCCACGATTTCCACCTAATTCCTTTTCCTTTGAAAGCGTGACCCCTCCACCAAAATGCATTCATGGTTCTCTCTATATCGCTACATAAGTCCACCGGTAACAAAAACACATTCATGGCATATTGAGGCATAGCTTGAATAACAATTTTCAGTAAAACCTCCCTCCCAGCTTTGGACAAGAATCTGTTGTTCCAACTCTGAATTTTTTGCACCACCTTCTCTTTAATATAACCAAAAATTTCTTTTTTATTTTTCCCCACCATCGAAGGAAGGTCCAAATATTTCCCCCCTCCTCCTTCCTCCCTCACACCAAAAATACTACTCAAATAATCTCTATCGTCCCAAACAACATTAGCACTAAAACGGACACTAGACTTATCAAAATTAATCACCTGGCCCGAGGTTGATGCATACTGGGCAAGAATCTCTTTGATAATAAAACAGTCCCGCTCATTTGCCCTGCAGAAAAAGAAACTGTCATCAGCAAATAAAAGATGGGTCACCGCCGGTGCCCCACGAGCCACTCGGATTCCTTGAAGTGTTCCTTCCTGCTCTTTGCTCCGTAACATAGCACTGATACCCTCCGCCACCATAATAAACAAATAAGGTGATAATGGATCCCCCTGCCGTAGTCCCCGAGACGGACAGATCGGGCCATAACATTCGCCATTGATTTGAACATGATATTTAACTGTCTCCACACACTGCATAATAATGTCGATCCAGCGCGGACTGAACCCGAAACACTCCATTATTTCTTTTAAAAATCCCCACTCAACTCTATCATAGGCCTTACTCATGTCTAACTTCAACACCACATAGCCTTCTTTCCCCTGAGTCTTGCGCTTCAGAAAGTGTTGTATCTCAAAAGCAACAATTATATTATCAATTATGGATCTGCCAAGGATAAAAGCACTTTGGTTTTCTGAGATAATACCATCCAAAATTCCTTTTAGCCGATTAGCCAAAAGCTTCACAAAAAATTTATAAGCAACGTTACACAACGCAATCGGCCTCCAATCCCCCATGGCTGTTGGATTCTCCTTTTTTGGGATTAAAACAATTGTAGTTTCATTATATTCCTCCGGGACACTACCGGTATTAAATAAAGTACTACAAAAATCCACTACATCTGGTCCCACAACATCCCAAAAAGCCTGAAAAAAACCTGGATTCAAACCATCAGGTCCCGGAGCCTTATCAGGGTGCATGCTGAAAGCCGCTGTCCTTACCTCCCCCCCGTTATATCACGCAGCAGAGTAGCATTCTGGATATCGCTAATCATTTTACGGACATTTCCGATCCCCAAGCAATCATCCCTACTTCCTGCAAAAAATAAATCTCCAAAATAATTAATAACAATATTGCTCATCTCTTCTTGATTTGTCACCCAGCTGCCCGCGTCCGACAAGATTCCTTTCATCAAATTTTTCCGCCTCCTTTGCTTGAACGAATTATGAAAATATTTAGTATTAATATCCCCTTGTTGTAGCCAAAACTCTTTTGCCCTTTGTTTCCAAAAGATGTTTTGCTTATCCAAGAGCTCTAAGTAACAGGCCTTAGCTCTAGCAAATTCGGCCAGACCAGCAGCATCCATACGGTCTCTACTTCTTTCCATCTGCCGTTTACACCCGTCGATGCGCCTCTGGAAGCCCCTACGAAGATGCTTACCCCAACTGCATAATTCGGAGCCACAGAACCGTAGCCTCTCCAACAAAATCTGGTTCTCACACGAGTTCCAAGCACGTTCAACCACGTTACGATAATCCTTCTCTTTTAGCCAATGGTTCTCAAACTTAAATTTGCTCCTTCTATACTTTCTCTTCTGGCGGCTGAACTGTAGATAAAGGGCGAGATGATCACTGTTGCTGCCCGTAATGGATGTAGCCCAGGCTTCGCAAAAAATATCAAGCCACCCATCATTTACAAGGATCCGATCAAGCTTCTCTTCCACCCAATGATGAGTCCCACGACCCCTACTGATACACTTGTAATTTCCGTGTGTATGTTTATGTTTTTAGCTAGTTTTGGTTGTTTAATATTTCGGAAATTACACACTTTTGGTGTAATAGTTTAGTTTGTTAAATCCTTGTAAATTGTTTAGATTAGGATTATTCTGAGCTCAAACAGGTCTACTATCACTCAAAGGATGGTTGGTGAACCCCAAAAGTGGAAAGAAGGTGCAAATCACAAGACAAAAAGGGAAAACCCTGATTTTTGCCTATACTCGGTTGAGTATTACCTATACTCGATCGGGTATAAGGTTGAAACTTCAAATCAGATCGGATCCGAAGACAAAAGAACATGCCGGGAAGATTTTGACCACGATTCAGTGTCTATACTCGATCGAGTAGACCGACATACCCGATCGATTATGCCTTTGAGTTTAAACCCGAAATCGGTCGAGTATGGCTCGAATATCACTTTCTACACATACTCGACCGAGTATGAATATATACTCGATCGAGTATACCTTTGATTTTTAAACCAAAATCGATCGAGTATACCTCGAATCTGGCATTTCACACATACTCGATCGGGTACTATGTGTATACTCGATCGAGTACTCGAGTCCCATCCCAAAAGCCTATAAATACACCATCTTTCCTTCACAATAGATCACCAATTCCTTTATACTCTTAAGCTCAGTTTAGAATAGAATTTCTCCAAATGAGGAGCTAAACTTCCATTTCTTGGTTTTGCTCTTGAAGCTTGATTGATTATTAAAGTTGTGAGTTATTTTTTTACTTTCTCCTCTTGATTATTAATTCTTCCCTTAATCTCATTCTATATTAATGTTGGAGGGTGGCTAAGTGACGATTAGTTAATGTTCCAACATTGATTATTACTAGAAACGTTCAACGAACCGATGGTTAAACGTTGATGGTTTCATAAGTAAGTAACTTCGGTTTATTAATGCACGGTCGTGGTTAATAAACTTAAGAGGGATTAATTTTGTTGGTTAAATCGAAACCGTTGTGTTGAGGTTATCAATCTTAATTGATTTCATCAAGGAGTTAAAGAGGTTAAAAGCTACTATTATATCGGTATACGGCGTTGTTCTATATTTGATAAATAGTAAGGGTTATTAATGAACGGTCGTTGTTAATAACTACCCTCGATGAATTGGATATACTCCTCGATTGAGTATTCGAGAGGGGATAAATTATAGATATAACAATGATCGACTAAAATATATCAACAAGTGGAAAGTAGCAAGACCAAGTCCCTTTTATTCTTGAATTTAATCCCATATAACTCGTTCATCTTCGTGTTTAATTTAATTAAATCACTCAACAATCTAACCCCCCTTTATTTACTATTTATATAAAAAGAAAGTTAATCCTTTCCATGTGGATACGAACTCTACTTCACCTATACTACGTATAAGTGTTAGTATCGATTTATTTTGAGTGCACACACGACAAGTGCACGTCACCTACCCCACGTAAATTGATAGCCTTCAAACGGGAAGCTTATCAGCCCACTTCCCCAAACCGCATTCCGAAAACCATTTAACCTCCAAGGAGGCTGGGAGCATCCCCCTCTTTTCTCATGTGCATGCAATATGTCGTTAAAATCTACCAGGACCACCCATGGAAGATTATTTATCGCAGCCAAGTGTTGTAATAGTTCCCACGAGTCTCTTCGATGATCCAAATCAGGAAATCCATAAAATCCAGTTAAGCGCCATGCTAGGATTGGTTGCTCCATTGTGATAATAGTATCTATAAAGTTTAACGATGAACCCCGAATATCCACCGTCACCTCATCTTTCCAAAACAAAGCGAGGCCTCCACTGCGACCATCACATTCAACACAAAACCAATGCTCGAAACCAATGGACCTGCAAACCTGTCGGATACGTTCGCTGCCACATAGCGTTTCCATCAGGAAAATCACCGACGGATGATATGTTAATGTAATATATATCTTGGAGTACTTGGACTGTAGCCAGATTTCCCAATCCTAGACAATTCCAACTAACACAACCCATCACATAAACCAAAAGCACAAACACTCTCGACCAGGCACAAACACCGGCGAGGACTGAATTTCTTCCCCACACACGAGGGAGACAAGATGCACCGGAAGATACCTCCGGGACAAACCAAGCCAAAACAACTGACTAAGACAAAACTTACCGGCCACCGCCATTGACCCTCCATTGGACTGCCGCCGTTATAGTAGGGTTTTTGGCCATCGCATCTATCTGTTAGTTTACTAATATATGTGGTCCTATTATTTCTTATCTCAAATATGTGTTTAAAAGTGTGTTCATCATAAAATATGTTATTGCTCCAAAAATCGGTTCAATCGGTACACAGAAAATTAGAGAAGGAATCATTGACTGATTTCGATCATAGATAATCAATTTATATGTAGTAATTTTTTTTAAGTATGATTGATCTTGATTACTGATTTCAAGTTTGCAAGTATTAGTTTAATCAGGTGAAATCAATTTTAGATGTTTGGCTAAACATTGTTTTCCAATTTCAATAAGTCAAGTTTCGATATTTGGTCTAACTCTTTTCTAATCTCAAAACGATCAAAAAGAGTAAGTTTAGAACTCAATTAGTTGGTAGTAGGGTTCAAACAAAGACATCTTGTATTGTAAAAGTACTAGACAGGCTTAACTCATGACCAAGTATCAAAACACTTATCATGTCCCTATTTAAATTTGAAATGGAATTTAGATATATTGATGCAAGTGTATAACCTTTGTTAGTTTGGTATAGACTACGGAGTAATCAATTTTTAAATTTGTTGAAACTATTGATTCAAAATGAGAACAATTTACATATTCAACCAAATTTTGTTGTCAATCTCAGTAAACCAATATTAGATACTTCCTCCGTCCCATTAGACTTTGCCAACTTTCCTTTTTTATTTGTCCCAAAAAAATTTGTCACTTTCCTATTAAAGCAACTAATTTGTGGTTCTTCATATTTCTTTCTCCTATACACAAATTTCAACCACACAGTTTTTACTATTCTTATTTCTCACCTAACTTGCATTTGGCAAAGTCTACCGGGACGGAGGTAGTATTAGATATCGCTGTAAAGTAAAATAAATCAAACCGGTTTATATGGTAATGGAAGTTCTCACCTCCGCCATAGGTCATCTGCATTCTCGTCCGCCACTTTAGAATTCACCGTCATCGTCATGTCTCTCTCTTCTTCATGTCGTCATTCTTCTTCTATTCTTTCTTTTGTGCGTGATTGGGATACGAATCGGCGACAAGGACTACGGAGAAGAAACTTTGGTAGTTCTCACCTCCACTGCAGGTCACATGCTTGGCAGCAGGTGACCATTAGAGACGAGCGACGAGGACGACGAAGGATATGACGATTGGCGATGACAACCCAGATCCAGAGCGGCGGCAGGTAGGGTTTGAGCAATAGGGGGTTGCGAAAGGTGCTCAGGATGGGTGTTGGGGTAGGGAGGGAGGGCACAGGTCTGGGGGCGGCCGTCACTGGGACTGGGTGGTGGTCGGGGCAGTGGTGGTGGTTGGGGCATTCGTGATCAGGCGGGTAGTCACCGCCCTGGCGGTGGAGGTCACTGGCCGGATTGACCACGGGTCGGATTGGTCATGGTCACTGATCTTGTTAGTCACTTATCGGATTGGTCATGGTCACTGATCGAGTTGGTCATGGTCGGATCGGTCATGGTCAGCGGATGGGTTGGTCATTGGTCTGATTGGTCAATGTCACTGGTCGAGTTGGTCACTGATTTGATTGGTCATTGGTTGAACACTGATCTGATTGGTCATGGTCGCTAATCAGGTTGGTCACTGATCGGATTGGTCATGATCATTGGTCATATCGATCACTGGTTGGATTGGTCATTGGTGCATTTGGTAATTGTCACTCGTAGAAGTTTAGTCTCCTTTTTGAAACTTTTTGAAAGTAGATCTATTTTTGTCAATGAAATTTGTCTTAGTGTTATTTTTGAAAAAATCCTGGAGATTTTACCATTCAACTGTTGTAATCAATGACTCAGTGTGGTAACTTATCAAAGTTGTAACACATTATGATCATTGTATTGTTAAAAACTTAGAATTGTTGTTATATACTTTTAAATATAAATGCTCTTTGTGAGTTGTGTAAAAATATAGACCATTCATATCAACTTTGCCTGAAAATTAGTCACTGATATTGCAAGTGACTTAATTTACTCCGTATCGAGTAGGGATGGACCGGTTCCGGGCCGGGCCCGGTTCGGGCCTTGAACCGGCCGGGCCTCGGTTCAAGGACTGGGAGGCCCGGAACCGGCCCGGGTAATCCCGGGTCCGGTTCGGGCCGGGCCGGGCCCGGTTCGGTCCTATATATATATATATATATATATATATATATATATATATATATATATATATATATATATATATATAGAGAGAGAGAGAGAGAGAAATCATCTCATCAGGCCGGCCTGACGGGCTGCCCTGTCCGGCCGAGCCCGTTTGGGCACCTTCCCGGTGAAATTTTTTGATGAAATTTTTTGAGCATGTTCCTCATCAAGTCCAGTTTGTCCATACCAAATTTCAGCTCAAAATTCGATCGGGAAGGTCGTCAAATGATTTTTGCAAGTTAACTGGTCCGGAATATGTATTTTCCGGACCAGTTAACTTGCAAAAATCATTTGATGACCTTCCCGATCGAATTTTGAGCTGAAATTTGGTATGGACAAACTAGACTTGATGAGGAACATGCTCAAAAAATTTCATCAAAAACTTCCACCGGGAAGGTGCCCAAACGGGCTCGGCCGGACGGGGCAGCCCGTCAGGCCGGCCTGATGAGAAGAGCTATATATATATATATATATATATATATATATTTTGGATTTTCCTAATCAACCCCCTACCCTCCCCCTCAACCCCAAACCACCCCAAACCACCTCAAATGGCCCAAAATACCCAATCCAACCCAAAAACTTAAAAAAATTAAAAAAAAAATATTAAATCCGGCCCGAACCGGCCGGGCTGGTTCACCAAAATGAAGGCCCGGAACCGGTAGCCACCGGGCCGGGCCGACTCGAACCGCCAATGGGCCGGGCCACCGGGCTGGGCCGGTTCAAACAGTGATCGGGCCGGGCCGGTTCCAGGGCGGGCCGCCCGGCCCGAGTCCATCCCTAGTATCGAGTACTTGTTCAATTAGGAAGTGTAAAAGGGTACATGCACAAAATAGTCACATATATACTTACGAATTAAATAAAATAGAGTGAATTATCTAAATATGACAAAAAAAAAGTGACAAGGAACACAAGTAGACTACATCTTTTAACCTCCCCCAACACTATTTATGTATGTTTGGATATAAATATACTCTTGTAACTTTTGAAATGTCTTAACTCTTAATTAATAATGAAATCATAAAAAAATAATTTAGGAATCGTAAATAATAATAAAAAATTATAAAATATTTGTAAAATTAAAAATTAAAAATATAAATTTAAAAAACACGTAATGAATTAACCGGCTCCCATAACTGGTTCGAAATCTGCTAACATTTTTAGTAATGAAATAATGA